TGGGCATATTGTACATAGCAACTAAATGTATTTATTTTTGAGGCTCTGGGTGGATGCTTAATAAAATTAACCAGCATTCGACTGTATGAATATATAACATATTATTTAAAAGATAATTTTATAGAAATAAAATTATTATTATTTATATAATTTTGTAACAAGTGCTTTTAACAATAATGTTGTACTGTTAGTATTTCTGTTTTTAATGATTTAAAATGTATATTCACCTTGTTTTATATTTGGGGTTTTGAGCTTACTAATTTAGATTGTATATGCCTTTTATAAAATAGTACAATTTCAGTTAAATGTGTTAACTATTTTCAAAAGGTCAAGTAATTGACAAATGTATGTTAGGATAAAAGTTTTATTTTTGAATTGTATTAATTTATTGCTCACGTTATTATTATAATTATATTGCTTAATACAGTAATAGAAAAAACTAAAAAGTGAATCATAGTAAGTCTTTTGTTATGACTTGATGTTATTTATAATGAACGGCATTAACTACAACATAATAAATAATTAAGGATATCCTACAAAATGTCTACCTACACATATTACTGATTATAGAATTAGAACTTTATTTTGCATCTATAATGATGTGTTAGTATACATGGTGATCACATTTTATAAAATATACCAGTATCAAACGGAATCAAAATAATAACCTTTTTTTTAAAAAAAAATAACAATAATTGCTAATTCTTTGAAAGTTATTAATATTAAATTATAAAATTAACATTATTTCAATTGGAATAATACAACATTGTTGAATTCATTAGACAGTTTTGTTAAAGATTGGTCCATTTTATCCAACTCATACAATTTATGTGAAACAATAAATCCATTGGTTGCTGTATGATTAATAATCTTTATGCACTTTAGGATTACTAGAAAATTGTTTCTACATGAATAATATAATAGTGAGTTTACGATTTAACAACAACCTACCAATCACATGCATTCAAATATGTCTCAAAGTTTCTCAATGCCACTAATTACTTGCTGCCTATATTTATCAAATGAAAATATTAATGTTGATTTCAGAGAAAACTTGAATGTCATTATAAAATTGATCTTTCACTGTAAAGTAAGCTTGACTAGGGAACTAAATTGCCATTTTCGTCAATACTTCTAACTTTTCTGCTGACCACAATTTTTGGATGACAACAAACACTTGTGGAATACCTTCTACTGAAATTGAACAAATGTTGTCTACTGTGAATAAAGTTAATTCAACTAGAGTCTAGACATAAGGTAAATATTTTTTTAACTGCTCTATTTACATTTTACACTTCAAAGAAATATTGGCTTTTTATACTGGCAAAACTTTTTGACAGACTTCTCCTCCCAGTTATGTTGATGTATTATAGTTATTATCATCTACATTACATACATCTGTGGCACACTAAAACCTTCCCCCCTCGAAAAGTCTGCAAGCAAGTTAAATTCTAAACGTTAATGTAGGATTATTGATACAGTTTTAGTATTATGGATGATAAAATGGCAAAACATAAAATAAATTATATATCTTTATATTTATTTTATACATAGTTAAATTGATTTAAACATTTTATTAAAAATACATAATTAAAGAGATGCGTTATATTTTTTTCTATGTTAAATTGTTATACTTAGAAAAGCATATCTAAACTGATTAGTACTGGGATTTCGGACAAGTACATATGGTAAATTTATTTTAGATTCTGACCAGAGATTAAACAACTCCAACAGTGCAGGGCCAGGCATGTAACCAATACCAACGTATTTGGAATTGGTAAAGCTAAAATGACTATTGCATGAGAAACCCAAAATTACACGACTGCAACTGTGCTTTAAAGGCGTTTGTTCTTCAGGAATCCACAACTTTTTCATTTGACTCAAATATTCCTTGACTATTTGAGATGTTGGGGACACCTTCCGTTTAAATCGTTTGCAGAGAATGTTTCTGTTTTTCTTTTCTAATACACGTTTACGTCTTAGGGATCTCAAGAGTTTTTTATGTTCCAAACGATAGATCTTACGCTTGAAAGCATTCAAATCTTTGTGAATTTTTTCTAAAGGACCCATGTTAGATTTGTCCCCAATGTTGTTTAAATCATCAAGAGTTGGTAAACACACATGTGAATTAGGTTTCAGAATGCCTTTGTGCGACAATTCAACCCTAATGGGTACTAAACAAGATTGTAAGTCAGCAAATTCAGACTTTAAATTGTCCACATTAATTTTTCCTTTTAAATTTAAAGTTAAATTTTGTAGTTGAGTTAATTCTTTGATATTTCGCAATACAAATTTATTATTAGAGTTTAACATCCATTCTTTACAAATAATGTCCCAAGGACAGTGAAATGGAGTCTGAAAACCTAACTTTATGTAATTCACTCGCATTTGTGGAGGAAGTTTAAAGTGTTTTTTCATTGCTTCTTCTTTTTCTAACATAGCTCTCAGGTTTCCAGCATCAGTATCTGGTTCGTCTGGTCTTGGCAAACATCGTTCTAGTATCATGGTTGTAGTTTCTCTTAGTCCTCCAGGTTGACATCCGTTCATAATTAGACCTAACCAAAATGGCATCGCCCATCCAGCTGGTAAGACAATATCCCAGCCACTACCGTAACCTAAAACAAAAATCAGTTTTTGGTTAAATAAATTTACAGTAACAAATAATCATTTTAATTATATAACCTGGTCTAGTAATTGGATGGAATTGCCCAGGTCGTTGAATTAAAAGAATTGGTATAATTGACATAGAGTGTTTGTCCAATGCAATTTTGTCATTTCCATTAATAACACAATTACTACGTAACATATTAATTTCACAATTAGGCATCTTATTCTGCCATGACCAATCTCGAACCTGTGTATCCCAAATTTTAGAAACACTTGCTATAGTGGGAAGCTTCAAAGAATAGTCTTCATCTAGCAGAAAATCTAAAAACAAACATTTTTATCCAAATCAAATTATTTTTATATTCATTTCATAAGTATATAAATAAAAATTTAAAAACCTTTTGAAATGGGCAAAGCTTTTGTTCTTTTCATTGGAAATACCAGCCTTGGATCAATAGTATGAAATCCAACCACACAATTTGATGGATATGACTCTGGTCTATCAGCTCCATTTAAAGATTCCCAAAGTTTTGTTTGGATATCAGTAGAATTTTTCAAATTTTTCAAATGGGATGACCACCAGTTTTCATTAACATTTTTTGAATTCACCAAATTTGCAGGATATAGTACACGACTCAAAACACTATTTGACAAAGGTCCTGTCAGTCTCAGTCTATTCAAAGAACCTTTTAATAAAGTCATTTTCATAGCACTATTAACAAAAGTAGGATTTAGTACTGCAGGAGTTGCAGCATTCTTTGAATTTTTTATAATTTCTAAGAGTTTAGGCTTTTTTAGAACTGGAGGTTCAGACTCTAAAATATCAAAGTCATTTTGCTTTAAATTAAATGTAGCTTGTAATTCTTTTGCTAATTGTGTATAAATCGAAGGTTCTGCCCAAATCCAAATGGCTCTTATTTTGTCTTGAACACAAGTATCCCAAATAAACGACACCCTACCAATAGCTCCGTGAGGATAAGCACCATTTTTATACATGCAAATTGATCCTTCTCTAGTTCCTTGTTCATAACACTTAGCTTTAAATGTACGGCCACAATCTTGATTAACATGGAGCATTAAACCTTCTATTATTTGATTATAGGGTCCTTTTAGTTCAATACAACTGATGTAAGATACATCCTAAATTAATAAAATAACAAACATAAGTACATTACAAAAATTATATAGGTTTATGTTATATTGGTATTTTACTTGAGCTAAACAGTGATTTCCAATAGCTCTGTAACAGGCTCGATAAGTTTTATCATGCGAGCTTTTAGGTAATTTATATCCATCCTTAAGTACAATATGAAACCGTTTTGCGAACCACACATGAGTTTCCAGCCATTTTCCATTTTTTTGACGTCTCAAGTAATCCAATCGACGACTTTTGGGTTTGCGCCTATAATCTTTTCTACGCCTCACATGTTTATTGATTTGCTTTTCAATCTAAATAATATTTAAACAAAAAGTTGAATATGATATGATTAATTTCGAAGTTCTTTATTTTTAGTACAGATTTTTTATGAGCAGCTCTTAAATCTTTAGGCATTCTTTTAACAGTTGTGCTCATGACTCGACGGCGCATTTTTTTTGGAAGACGTTGAAATATCATTTTATTGCACTTTTTTGGGGTCTCTAAAAAATAACCAATAGATATAAAGCTAGTGAGTTAATATGAACATATATTAGCAAAAAAAAATGATTTAAAATAAAAACACAATTTTTTTAGTAGGTACTTAAAGATTAGTATTTGAAATTTAATTTTGCTTTGACTAATAAGTGTTATTTTCAATATAATTGCATACAAATTAGATGTTCTATAGCCCTAAGGTATGTACAAGCTAAAAGCTAAGTTATGAGCTATGATTTAATTGCATGACTTACGTATTTCTTTAAGCAAAGCTTGTATTTCTTGATTGCGAGCAGATAAAAATGAATCTGCATCAACTTGATTCCCTGGTCGGACATGACCAGGAGTGTCGTCCAATATTTTATGCAGATGATCCATAGCTTACAATTCTATTCAACGTAAAAACGTATAATACATTTAAGATACACTAAAAATCATTAAAATATCAACATTTCAAAAATTAATGAATATTGTATATTGTACATTTTAGTTATAGTCAATAATCAAATAGACGAGTGTCTTAGCCCTTTGGTACTTTCATATTAGAATTCATGGGGGACGGCTGATGGACGATGCATTCGCGAAAAAATTGAAACCGAAGAATTTTCAAACTAATAATAAGAAAATAGTCGTGCACGTCGCGCTCGCGCACATGGTCGTGGTTGTTAATGTGATTGATAAGAGATGTGGTGGTGATAAGCAGTTTCCATGTTATATTTTTTTATTCCAGGACTGGCAGTGATCTTATCAAATCCGGCTCCGTCATCACTCATCAACGTTTAACTTTAACACGACAACAATGTAATGTTGAAAACCTTTTTTTAATTTTCTATATCATTCCTAATTTATTTTACAATTGTTGTATGGATACCGGTTGTCTATTACCGTTACTGAAACAGCGAGACACTGAGTACACCGGACGCCAACTTGAAGCTTGTGTGTTTGGCCAGGTAAAAGATTTCCGCCGAAATTGAATTTCTGAATTGTCGATCATCTGGAGTTGCGAACAAATACGAGACGCGCCACTGTCCGATGTAAGTATTTGGTCGTCCGATTTATGTTTATTTTTTGCATTTTCTCAAAATACTAGTTAGGAAGTAAGGACTTTCAAGATAAATTTGTATTTTGAAATTGAATTTTAGAATGTTATTTCGTTAAATACAGAATATAAACTTTTTTTGCAATGTGTCGTGGTCGTATCACATTTCGATCTAAGTATGACCAGCCAGCCAAGACATGTAGTACCTAATTAATAATTATATTCTGTTATTACTGGTCTCTCTCTCTCTAGTCTACAGTCACTAATGTGGAAGGTTACTTTGGTTAAATTGTGTGGAAACTAATCTACATATTTTTAAATGGTTGTAAAGTTATGAGTAGGATTATTCATTAAAAAATATTATGATTCATTACTGATTTAAAAATGTTTTTCTTTAAAAAAATCTCAACTTAAATGTTAATACTTGATGTATTATCTACTAATTAAGATTGATATTAGAATAATTAAGTAATTTGATCTTATGATAATCAATGCTGTTACATTAGTTATTGGTAAAAATAACTAATAACTAGTCGAAATTTTGCAAATTGCTTGTTAAGATGATTGATTTGCACTTATAGCCGCTCATCGGCGAACCCTGTCAAGATAAAAAATATTATCCATATAGAGTATTTACGTAGCGTGGGGTACGATAATAATTGTATAATATAATATAATATGCTACCAATGTAATAATATAAATATAAAAATAATATTATATTATATAATATAACATAATATCTTACCAATGTTTTTCTCACGGTCAACTATACGTCGTCCTGTTATGTGTGACATCCAAATTTAATTTGTATATTTTTGCCCCCTATCCAGAAAAAGTTGATAACGTAGTTTACAAAGAAATTTTTCAAGTCTTTGAATTATTAAAATACTGGAGTAATTCATATCTTTTGTTCCATCTATCAAAATTTATGTCCACAAACTCTAATTTTAGCGCTTCATACATTAAATCTATTAAATAAAGAAAGTTGCAATAAGCATCAATTTTCTATTGACACAAGGGATATAATTTTTTTTCAACATTATGAAGTATCCTCGGCGGTGGCGCTAAATTTATATGGCTACATTACCACGGAGACGTGACTAAATGTGGTCTAAAATAAAAATAATTATTTAGCATCTAGAAAATAAATAGGAAATTAATATCTGAGAAATCTTGTAATAGAGAAGCATTGTCGGGTCAGCTAGTATATTATAAAATAGGTATTTTGTTAAAAGTATAGTTTTTATTTAAAATTTAAAAATTTTAGAATGATTACAGACGTTCAATTAGCTGTATTTGCCAATGTGTTGGGTGTCGGCTTATTTCTTCTAGTTGTTCTCTACCATTACGTCACGGCAAATTTCCCATCAAAATAATTTTTTATTGTAAGTATATCATAACTTTTTTTAAATAATATATTATTCTTATTACTTTTTAGTTTTTTATTTTAGGTTGCAAGTTTATACACAATTGTGTTCCAGTATTTAGTTTAATATGCCTATTTGTTGTAATACTTTGATCCCACATAAAACGCACATTTAGTTATTATTATCTTAATAATGTTAAAACTTACTACATTTTTTAGTCCCTACATGATAATATTGTTATTTTATATATTTTGAATCATAAATGTGTTCCCCCAGTACCTGTTTTTATATGTTTTGTGAGTCAGTATAAAACCTTCATTTGTTGTTATTTGTTTGAGTAAGTGTTATAACATAATGACTTTAAAAATATCACGTAAGGCGCTTAGTCTTACCGAGAAGTTGTCAATTTTGCACGAATATGACTGTAATCCTTTATTAGAAAAAACAAAGGTAGCTGAATCACTAAATATATCCGAGTCAACTCTACGAACTATTATTGTCAAAAGAAAAGAAATACTAAAATGTGCTAATGAAGGATCAAACAAGCGGAAGAAAATAAAACATGGAAAATATTATGATCTTGAACAAATTCTGATACAGTGGATTAACGAAATGCATGCTAATTCTGCTCCTGTTAATGGTCCTATTACTCAACGTAAAGCCTTAAAAATTGCGAAAACATTAAAAATCACAGATTTCAAAGCAACAAACGGATGGTTGGATCGATTTAAGAAACGGAATGTAATTCGTTTTCGCTCAGTTAGTAGAAAATCTGAACCAGCAAATGACGAGGATGAACATTTTTGGTTTTTGAACATTTTACCTAAACTTACAGAAAAATATGCTTCAAAAGACATTTTTAATGCTACTGAATTTGAGTTGTGTTATAAACTAACGTCCAACGAATTACTTGGTTTTAAAAATATTGTACGCGTCCAAACACGTCTTAAAAGTAAAATTAGCAGAGAATTACTCAAAGTACTAATCTGTGCTAATTCTGATGGAACAGAAAAATTGAATCCACTTGTTACTGGAAAACCATTGAAACCTAAATGTTTCATTGATAACAAATCTTTCCCATGTGAGTATTCTGTAAAAAAAACCACATCGATGACAAATAAGCATTTCGGTTTTTGGGTCCAAAACTTAGACCAAACTATGATAAAAAATAACCGTAAAATTTTACTTATTGTAAACAATACTTCAACTATTCAAAAAGATATTGAATTGAAAAATGTGGAATTAGCAATTTTTCCACCATACATTACCAAGGATCTTCAACCTATGAATTTAGGTGTGATTAATGCCTTAAAACAATACTATGAAAAGCACTATTTAAATGTCTTAAAAAATTCAGACACTAAGCAGCTTAATATATTAGATGCATTACGTCATATAACTGCAGCATGGAGCAGCATACAGCCCCAGGTAATTGCTGAATGTTTTAAAAAAGCTGGATTTGAATGTTGTTCTAATAAAGTAATTGACAATACTGCTAATGAACCGATGGAATCGATAAACAACACTTCAACACATTTAAAAAAAGACAGTAGAGACAACAAAAATATAATGACCACAGAGCACAAATATGTTCTAGATAGTAAAGACTTAGTGAATATTGCTGAAGAAGATGTTATTGATGAAGATAATGATAGTGATGAAGATTCTGATGCTGGCCAAAATGAAACATTATCCAATGCAATTAATGCTATCAAAATTCTAAGACGTTATCTCCCAACATTAAAAGGAAGCGAAGTGGCTATGTCTAATATTGATCGCGTTGAACATTTTATTTTTTCTAAAATGCCAAATTTATAATGAAGTACTTTAAAAAAAAAAAAACACACAAATAAAAACATTTGTTTTAAATGTAAAACATATTACATAATTTAATCAGTATAATTTTTTAATACACATTAATGTAATTTTACTTAAAATAAATTATAATTATCATAAATGTTAGCGTATCATTATGTAGTAAATTTCTCAATTCATAAACTGACAGACCTAAACTATTACACAAATTATCATAAATCGGTCTTCTAATTAAATTTACCACAGTACCAGGGGTGGACTGAGACCCATTCGGCCCACTATTATTGAGAAATGATCGGCCCTATACTATTACAAACTAAACTTTTAGACTTTGGTACTTTATTTTTGAATTCCAGTTACTCACCAATCACCATAATAAACTAGGGACAAATATTATTAATATTAAAATTTATTTGAAGTAATATTAATTTTTTGTTACATCAATTGTACTTTAAATTATAAATCATAGATATTACCAAAACTACAATGCCCCAAAAAATGTATTTTAACCGCAATAATCGCCTTAAAAATGACCAAAAATATTGTTTTTACAATTCTTGAGTATACACAAAAATATAAACTTAACGATATAAACGTAATTACGATGTAACACCAACTAACCAATTAGTTGTTACTGATTAGAGTTTGTAAAATCATAAATAGTACAACCTACTAATTATGAATGGTTACATTCTTGTATTGGAACATTTTGGAAATTATCAATTAAATTTATTCTAAAATATAAAAATGTATTTATATTATATATAAATGTGTACTAAAAATTAACAAAAATTACTTTTAAACTGAAATAATAATTGCTCAAAAAACACCAAAGCTGGTAAAAATGCAAAATAAAAGTTTAATAGTTTTAAATTCTTTGATGTACTAGTATGAAAAGGACTTTATACTTGAAAAGCATTGCCGTTGACTTCCCAAAAAATAATGCATTTTGCATTAAAGTACGGACCCTATATTGTTATAACTTATAAGCATTTAAGGTTGAGTCGAGCGGAGTGGATTATGTTGGTCTACTACTAAGGTATTCTAAATAGGAGAGGTCCTAAAAAAATCGTCAACAATAATAATATTATACCAGGTGGATTATTTTGTGCCAGCTCGGGGTACATTATATGATACCCTCCCAATGTACAATTGCACAGTGGCCCAGTCCGCCCCTGACTAAAACTACAAGAATTTGGTAGTCACAATACGAGAATAACTGCTTGAGAATCTGGCAACCCCAGCTCTAGGGTAACATTTGTTACAAGATCGAGTTCTCAAAATATGAAAATACATTTTATACCAAATGCATGTATACTCACACTGGATTATTATAACAATTGTATTAATTGAATTTTATCCTCAAACTTTATTCATCAAAAACTATATGTTCATAACTAGTTAATTAATTGATGTAAATCAATTATAGTTTTAAGATGCTTTGAATATGATTTTGTTGTACACAATAAATAATATAATGGTTGGATGGGTGAAGAGTACTTATACTAGTTAACATGCCTTTACCATGATAATTGTATGTAATACAATAATCATGCATTAGTCAATGATTTCCCAGAGACTAATATATATGATTTATAGAAAATTACATTGTATTTATTAGTGATTTTTACTACAGATTAGGTTATAGTAAAAAATTGTCTTAGACAAATCATAATATATATTTAAAAATTTATAATTTTTACGTTTTTACAGAATATCAATATGAATTACATTCCGGTGAGCTGCAATATATAGCAAGATGTTCAACTACGGGTTGGATATTTTTCCATACTTAAAATAAAATGTAATAATACTCAATTTATATTTCAATGTGGGATTATGAATACTTCAAAGTACATCCACCAATTCAATGTTAACAGAAAATTAATTTAAATTAAAAAGATATATGCAGGGTCATTCAATGTATAGTCATTTAAGAATTTAGAGTATGTTTGAATGGCCCTGCATCTCAGTGATATTTTTTTTACCTATTCATCAACACAGTAATTTATTTCATAAAAAATAAATTTTTTTTTTAAATATTATAATTTTTTTTCCATACATTAAATTTAATATAATTTATTTGAGTTTTATTATCAAAGCTATATTATGTACACTATTTGCTTAAATTAAATTAAATTATCAAATATTTATACTTAATTTTATTTTTTAATTTGATTAATCAACTTTATTGAAATTAAAATTACAGTATTATCTGTTTTTATAATTATATTAATTAATAAATCATTAATAACAACATCTTTAAGGCTTCACAAACTTAGTACTCAGAAGACAGATCATTATGTTTAGGTATCTGGTTAAGCAAAATGTTCATCCAAATTTATTAAATAATATGAATCGTACCTCTGATTAAACAATAAATGAATGTATTCTAAAATTATCAGATTTTGGAGAAGTCTAACAATAAAATGTATTGTCATTATTAACATTAAACTTCTGCCTTCGATGACTTGAATGTTGATAGAACTACATGTTCATTAGTCTAAGGTTTATCCGTTTATTTTTTCTTGGACCCTGGGTAACAATATTACTCTTATTGTTCTATGGTATGTCGTACTTAAGCTTTAATCTTTTAATTATGGGCTCTAATCTCTGATTATATTAATATTTGAAATGCTATCCACCAGGACTATAGAAAAACATCAGTACATTATAAATTAAACTTGGTATCATTATTATTCTGGTAAATCACTAAATGCGGACAATATTATTTTTAAATTAAATTGGAATTTTCTGTTTTTTAGTTAGTGAATTGATAACATTGCCTTAAAATATTATCGCCTATCGGTTAGTGTATACTTCGGGCGTGCACCAGTTGCCCTCAAAAGTACATTTTTTTTTTACCTATTCCCATTAAACTATTTATAGCATAAGGTACCAATTGCAATCGACAAAATTACCAGGTGTACCTATTGCCTTCATATATACACCCTATTTTAGTACCAACCCGTAATACTATTTTTTGACAAATTACATTGTAAGTCATATATTATAATTATAAATACTATATTTTCTCTTTTATTGTATTCATTTTTTTTATTTACGTATTTACCTTCCTTATTTTACTGGTCAATATTGAATCGTGTATTATATAATATGTGGGGCAACTGGTACAGTTGGTAAAAGGCAATTGGTACATTTTTAAATACCAAAAACAGGACATCACCCAGTATTTTGATCAAAAAAACTACATTGGTCGATATTCTATATCTATTATATTCTTACCTTCCATATTTTTGATCTTTGTAATTTTATGTTGCCTGCGAGTAAGATTTAAAATTTGTATAAAAATCACAAACTAAGAAAGTAATAAGTATAGACTAGAAAATTGAAGCTGCGGATTAAAACGATGTTTGTTTGTAGACACCTTGTTAAATTAATAAACCTAACAGTTATGAACTCAAATAAACTAAATTTTCGTTTGAAATAAAATAAGGTACCTATATTCAAATTGTGGCCTATGAAAAACGTTATACGTATTTGTTTATTGGCCCTTAACATCAAAAAAGGTTGCCGACACCTGCAGTATAGAGGTACCTAGACGATTTACATTAATTTTTTTTTGTTATAATTCAAATTCAAAACAGTTACAAAGCATTTTGTGTTTTTTATTGAAGCGTAGTTTTTTTTAATGATTTTAAAATTTTGTACACAAAAAATTTGTATAAATATTGACAAGTGAATTTTAAAATAATACATAGGAATTAGCATTGATACTAATGATACTCATACCTTTAAAAAAACGTTGTATTGGGTGCGACTTGGGACATCATTGACTATTTGTGCTTAATAATAAATAAAAATCGTGTTTAGTTCTTTTTTATATAATATTTATAAGTATTTCTTAATTTTAATTCGAAATTTTTCAATAAAATTGAACGATTGGTTTCAACAAACCTATTATTTTATATTAATTATAATTTGTTAATTTCTCTTTTTAAAATGTGCTTAACAAAGATTAACACAAAATATTGCGTATCGATAAATTTTTTTCGTAGGCGTTAGGTTAGGTAGTCTGGAGTTAACTATTAAAATAATAGCATCGTTTTTCTATTATTGTTTATAGTTCTGTCCTGAATTATCCCATTTCGTGGTTAACACCGGACATTCTTTAAATTTATCTATATAAAAGCTCAAAGATGACGAGTGCTTACCTATAAGTTTTAGGAGCTCATCATTATCTTCTTAAATGGATTGCTGTATTGAACATTTTTTTTTCAGAATTTTCAGAAATATTTGAGAAAACCAGTAACGCTGGTATATTTAAGACAATACGGGATACAATTTTTTTTATAGAATACCTATTACCCATTATAAACTATATTATAACCATTTCTTATCAAAATTATATTCCCCTCCAATATAATAGTTGCCTATTTTACTTCTTAAGATTAACATGAACAATATAGCAAATTATAGGCCAATAATTATATAAAATCTGAGCGAAATGATACCTAACAATTCTTTTGCCACTTTTCTAGTACACAGTGTCCCGCATTATGCTTTTACAGTATTTGGTTAGGGTTTAATACTTATTGTACTAGTAGACTTGAAGTTACCAATTGACGTAGGACTATATCTAGGCTGTTACATTTATATAAGCGCCGCATAGACTGATAGGTTTGTACATAAAAAAAGTCTGCATAATAGTATAATACACATTTCTCCGGCGGATAGCACTTTATACATATTATAAGTAGGTACTATACTTAAATATTTAACGTTTTATTTAAATTGTTTTCACCAAATGCATAATAATATAAAATATTAAGAAAGATTTTAGTGATCACTAGAGATACATTTGATAGAATTATTTGATTTTTTAATCTTTTATAACTACATAAGGATAATGGATATACTGGTACATGTTGTGGTTTGCGCAAAACATTTTTTATACATACAGATGAGACCTATGTGAAGTTTAGTAACAAATTTCTACATTAAAAATTACAATACTTTATATAGTGGGTGAGTGGGTCTAATTTAAAAATCTATTTTTTAACCTTCATTCTTAGTGAAAACTATTGACTTTAACACTATTAAATGTGAAATTAAAACCTCTACAAATTGAGTAGCTTAACTTTTTGTCGTAAGTTTGATGAATTTTGAAAAAAAACCGCAGAAAAAATCAATTAACGCCAATTTTTACCGTCGATTATCAACTATAATTTTGAATTGGACTCATTACTTATTGACTTAATTTTGTAGAAAATTTAACGCACTATATTTTGTATAGGATTACGTTTTTTTGATAAAACTAATAGTTTTTGGGTTATTATTGAAAAATATATTTCCCTGATATCAGACCTACCTATGTTTAGGCAATCAAACGATTTTCAGTTTTCCACTTAATAATTCCAAATTTAAACCTAATTTTACAGACCTAATAGTATGCTACTGAAATGAGATCTGAGACTGTAATGTCTATTATCACTTGCAGTAAATTTTAATTTTATATGATTGCCTATTTCAAACCTCTTATAAGTGCGCGTCAGCGTCAGCTTTTATCAGTTATCACGATTCACTGGTTTTTCTTCAATTTATATTATATACAATATTTTATAATTTAATAATTTAAACTAGTAATATGACATAAAACGTGACCTTTACGGCCGAACATTTTATTATGTTGAATAAACTACTAGCAATAACAACGTATAACACGTAAATTGGGGTTTCTTTACTCTATAGTCCAGTGGTGCGCCTGTGCAAAAGGTCAAACAATAATATTGTATAACCATAGTAAAAAAAAGGTTCAAGAATTAAACCCTTTTGATAACTATCGGTTGAATTTCGTTATTTTTTTCGCGATTTATAGCAGAAAATATGCTTTGATATTTTTTAACTTCAATATATTTTCTGGTAGAAAAGTAAGTTCAAGTATATTTAGTATCTATATTTGGAAGATCAAAATTAAAAATTCTCAGTTGTTAATTTAAAAAATAATCGGCAAAAATAAAAAAAAATAAAATTAGTAAACACGAAAAATAAGTTTTCAACAAAATTCGATTAACTTTTCGATTTCGTTGTTATTCTTAAAAAACGAATAAATGGGAACTCGAAATTTTCTCCAAATGTTTGTAATATCAGCATTTTCTATAAATAGTATAACTTTCAACATATTTTTTCTCTATTTGAGCTATTTATAATGTGTTAAATAAAATGTAAGCCAATTTTTTTTTTATTAATTGTCGATAGAAAGATTTTTGCTTCATCAAAAACCTAAAATATTTAAATACAAGGTCTCACATAAGTTACTATTATAGAAATGAAAACAAATTGAGCACATAATATTTTTATATGCGAGTTAAAAGTCAATTTCGATCGTCGAAATCACATTAATTTGCGAAAATATTTTATAGTTAAATATTTTTAAAGTTATCGGCTAAAATTTGAAAATTGTATCTATGGTTCCCTATAAGTTGCTATAACTGGAATTAAAATAAAATGAACGTAATGTCACAAATAATGTCTATGAGTATTTATAAACTTTAAATTTTGCATATTTGCCTCTTTTTGAGTTATTTTTTTCTACTTTACAATTTCTGTTTTTTTTTTTTTTAATTGTTGATCTTATTTTAAAATTTAATACAAGATTTATCTTAAGTATTTCAAACTGAAATAAAAAATGTATGAACACAATTGTTTGTAGACAATTGAAGTTCAAATTTGAACGATATTAGATATATTTAAACGATAAGAATAACGATTTTTGTTGTAAATCAAAAATATTTTCCTTGGGATTTGAAACTTTTACATTCAATAAAATGTTCAAAATATTTAGCTTAGTTTCTTTTAAACTCACACTTTTTATGGAGTGAAATTTAGTATTGACTCAAAAATCAAAATTCAGTCAAAAGTTAATCACAATCATATTTATGATATTAATATAATATATATACGTAGGTAATGTTATAATGATTTAATATATTAGTTTTCGTATGCAATGTTTTATCATCGAATTAAAACGTACTCATACATTAACATTACTGCAGTGACTTATTCAATGACGAGGTACACTTGACATCTTTACTGTACAGTTGAGCGGTTACCTCTACTTTTTCTATTTTTTCAAATTAAACATTTCTTTTTCATAATTTATTACAACTTACAAGATATTAAATCAACACCTGAGTGTGATAAAGAAAAAAAGACACATTTCACAAAATTAAGATTCTTCTCTCTGGAGTAATTCGACCGACCTCAATGAGGTTACCTGATATTATAATTTATAATAAAATAATCACCATCTACTAAAAATACGAAATTAGGTTAAATTATATAAACTAAAAACGTTACACAGTTACTGCATAATTTCAGCTTCCAAGTATGTAACCTATATTTATAAATATATGAGCGGTACACTGGTACCTATACAGAAACAAAACTACGAAACATATAAATCAATATCAACACACGAAACTTTTATATTTCTAATCGATTACAAATTTTTCTTCATATATCGTATACTTACATGTGATTTTTAGGTATTATTATTTCATTATCTAAAAAGGGTTCCTATCATGATGAAATAATAATGTAATGTGTACATGTTTCATAATATAGGTATTTACATTTTATTTGTGAAAGAATCATATGTTATTATTAAATTCATACTACAAATAAATTGATTTGTAGATAAAATATCACAGCTTACACGTCAAAAACAGTTTTCTGAAAGGTTAAACAGATTGTTCTCGTGTCTGTCTGATATAATCTGTAAACTTTTTGCGTTCGTTGTCTAACTTTTTGTCAGTGAGGTCGTCGCAAGCTAGAGATGCTCTTAATTTGGCAGTTGTGTGTTCGAGATCCTAAACAAAATATTCACCTTAAAATCGTGTTTCAATAAGTTACTAACTTATTTGTGATTGATTTTGCGGTATTTGGGAGTAGCATAATAAAATACTATTACTAGACTTTGCCTCTGTTCGCTCCCACTAGCCGATCCCCACTCTTAAATCATTATTGTAATTTGTATCATTTTTAATAATTATAGTTTAGATTCTGAGGAGAGCGGATAAATATATTGATTTTACTATAATGTGTGTTAAATTAAATTTTAATTTTTTATGTGTCTGTATGTATACTCAATAAAACTTCGATTTTCAATTTTAGTCAATTTTCTAGTTGGTGGTTTCAACTTTCAAGAAGTAAAAATTAAAAATTCGGTGTAGTTTTCAAAAGTGCCGGGGGGAGAAAAAAAATAAGAAAAAACAGGTTGATATTTTTATGCATAACTAGTTTTCTACAATATAAATTTCGTTTTTTCGTTTATTTTGCTTGTACATGATTTTTGTATTGAATGTTTATATTATTATAAATTTCTAAACATCGTACAATTTTCAAAATATTTGGTTTCTTTTTGAATTACTATTGGAGGTATAAGAAATGTTCGATTATCGTAAGTTTTTTTTAGTTGTTGTCAATAAAAAAAACTTTGATCATCAAACAATTTGAAAATTGAATACAAGGTTCCTCATAAGTTTTTCTACCTTTAACAAAAAAAAAGTTTTCTTGAAAGTCACATTAATTGATCATGAGTGTTCGAATTTTTTCGACATTGAATTAAAATAAAAATTTTTTCTAGCGATAAGGATTGAACATTTAAAAAAAGGTTTCTTTTAAGTAATTCATAATATAGTGTGACCAAAAAATCTATAAATATACAACCTCAATTTTTAAAAACTTTTAAAGATATTTTAAGTTTAAATTTGGACGATATTAAATGTTTAAACAAAGAATAACGTTTTTGTTGTTTTGTTGTAATTTAAAAATACTATATTTTAGTGGGTACTTGAAACTTTAAAAGTATCTTATCATATTTTATACACACACTGACATTTTTAAATGCATTATTTTCGGAAAAAATGTATTCAACCTACTGTATTATTAATAGTAAAACAAATTACTTTAAGAGCAATAACAATATCATACAATATTCTTAGTAGGTATGTCGTATGTATCTAATATGGGCCATACTGACAGACCGTCTTCGCTCAGATTTGTTTTTCGTGTGCAACGATTTATCATTTAATTCAAATTTAACCCATCCAATATCCATTACGGAGACCCACAAGACACATATTCGGCTATACTATATAGCAGAGCGGTATAACCCACTTTGCTAACCATTTTTCATTTTAGTCATCACAAAAATAATAAAAAATTCTAATACTTTTTATTATTTTTATAAAATTCAGAGATACTCCGATTTCCATTACGTAGGTATATTGATTGTTTTTTTTTTTAACCATACGGTCCATATGTCCATACCAAACTATTATAACTAAATGAATTACAAAGTAAGTAAAAAAAACAAATTATTAAATACGGACATGCAGTTACTATATTGTTATAAGATTGTAATTTCAAATTTGTAAGTACCTACTTACCAATGCTATGCTGCAGGTACTTTTAAGTCATATCGATTTTACCAAAATCGCATGCAAAGATATAATTAAGAAATCTAATATCAATTACATACTGGGTACTTATTATACAAATTTAAATTGAATGGACACGAAAGCAGTAGGTACCTTCGTTATTCAAAATTACCTTTGGGCAGGTACCTCAAAATAAAAAAAATGATGTTATATGTGATTTTATAAGCATCTACCTATATGCTTTCCAAGGTAAAAAGACACATATGTTCGTTTTTATGGACATTTTTAGTACAATGTGCGAACTACAAATATGATTATAATTCTTGTTTTTATAAAGTTTGATTTATTTAATCATTAGTAAATGTATTTTTAAATTTAGTGCCATTTATTCAAATTTACCTAATTAGTAATCATTCAAATGTAATGTAATGCCCGTTAGGTTGTATAAATTGTACTGAGGTAGTATGAGGTGTCTGTATAAGTGATCAATGTTTAAAACAATTGAAGTACCTATAGGTATACTACAAAATTCACAAAAATATTACGAGTTGGTTGCGATTATAGTAAGTAATCTGTTACGCCGTTACGGTGTTAGTATGTTACCCACTTTTAAAAAAGTTTCGTTCCTTTTTTTCGCAATTTTCTTCTGTTTCTCCATCTGTTCTCGACGGATTTTGAAAAAGTCTCCTTCTTCCACCACCACCGTCTTACGCCTGTTCAATCTGTGCAGATAAACATTGTTTCAACTTAATATCGCGATAGATGATTTACTAAAATACAGGCAGTAGTGCAGTACCCGATGTAGGCACTAAGGTCTAAGAGTATAGGTCAGGTGTTCTACAAATTTCATTTAGTCGATGGAATGTTTGAAGAATCAAACGATTCAACGATTATATTTTGTCATTTTGAATAATAAATATTAATTCATATAATATGTATAGGTAATAACAATTTCATTGAAAAATCTTTTTTCGTTTTTAAATCGGACGTTCACGACATATGAGACGCGAAACTTATTTAATATGATTGATTATAAATACTATAATAAAAACAATATTTATACTATAAATAGTACTTACAATCAATGGTGATATAAACAATATTATTTAATAACATTATAACAATAATAAATAATATGTCTGCGTGTTATATAATATAATAATAATATGGTTTGCATATCATATACTCACATCTCTTTTAATTGGTTTTCCAAGTCGATTTCCCTGTCTATGTAGCCACGCAATACTTGTCTGGCGATATCCTTTTCCGACATAATAATATTATATATCCGTTTAGCCGTTACAAAAAAAAAAAAAAAACAAAAATTTAACACACGTTTGAATGTAACGAACGCGATTCGTGAAATGCCGTACAATATAATCGACGATTTGTTTAGGTCACACATATAGTTAGTTGCCAAGGAGGGTATATCCAAGGACGCCAGTATTGCGAGGGCGCCCTGCACACATATTATGAATATTATATATATTAGTCATATTATATCGCATAATTTCTATAATGATACATACCCAGGTACCTGTATCACCCATACACGCTGTAACGGTGGTCGCGGTCATCGGGTATAGTTGAAACTTGAAACATCCGGCGGCGTACTTGACCGCGCATACGTATAAACTGTCATTGAATTGTTATTATTATTTTTTTTTTATTAATTCCTTTTTAGAATCGTCCCGAATATTTAATAAATCAATCGAACGAGTAGAATGATAATACAAATATACATAAGCGCATATGCCTCTGTTGCAGATAGTGCAGAAAAAGCATATTGATTTCATACTTAGGTGTACTATACAATAATGTGCATCTTATCGATATCAAATATAATATATAAATAACAACGAAATACAGTACAATTATATAAACCGAATTTTCATTTAAAATGTAATGCACATTTCGGGATTACCTCATTACCACTCGCGGCGTTTTGAAATTTCGAAAAGTCAAATACTTTTTCGGTCCCTCGAGACTTCGAGATAACGAGGTTCCACTGTCCTTATATTATTCCTTTACCATAGCAATATCTAGAGTCCGGAAATTGTGGTTTTTTCATTTTTTCATTTACTTCAATAATATATAACAGTAGTTCTATTACTTATTAGTTATTAGTTATGAATTCAATTCGCTCAAAGAAGAAAATTATACACACCATTTGGTTCGGCTTTTTGTTGTTTTAACATGTGTTTCATTACGAACAAAAATGTTTTCACTAATTTATAAAGAATGTTGAAGAAACATTCTAGGTTTATAGAACTTGGAATAATATCTGTAATTTTACAAGATGAGTAATTTTTAACACAATAACTTCCGGACAATTTACTTCGGAAAACATTTAGCAGCTATATGCCTATACTTTGCGCCTGTTATCGTTTCTATTGTTGTCGAATAAAGTTTTTTGAATTACAACAATACTTTGTCATATCATCAACGTTGATATATATTCGAAAATATAACAATTTTACTAGTAAAATACTACATTCGTTTTTTACGAAATCTTTATTTATTATTGTAAGTTTTAAATTATTATGATTTATAATCTAAAAACGATTGCTATATGATGATTGATGGGTTTTATGTTTTTAAAGCGTTTCACAAAGGTTTAATAAACAATCTATTGCATTTCAACTATCATTTGATATCATGTAATATAGTAGGTATTCATGTTTGTATAAAAGGTGTTACGACTCACTGTAACATTTATAATTAGAATTTATAAACTAATAATCCATATTTTGTGATTTTTAACTGTAAATAAGTATAAGTTATGACTATACTTGAACATAATATGCACTACACATTACACACCACTTGACACCTGCAGCTGTTAACATCAGTCATCGCACTAAACTTAATAACATTATTAAATATATATATATTAAGCGTCCGTGTGTGTGCATGGCATTCATTGCATATAGTAAGTTAGTTGTGTACTCGTGTGTATAGTAAAATTAAAATGTTTCATTGTTTTAATAATGGTTTTCTAAAAATAATGATCAATACACATATTTTAGATTTAATTAACATATTCAAATGGGCTTTATCCACTGTTTCACTTATGATGATGACGATGATGATGTCTGCAATTCGTTTTTATCAGCCGCTTAGAAAATGTTTGTTTAGTTCTCTACAACTTAACAGGACTAACCAGTCAATCAGACACCTAGAAATCTCATCGTCTTCAATTGATTTTGAAATAATTTTTATGTATTACAATTTTAAGTATTTTAAAATTTTAAGGTTTTATAAATCGTCTGAAGCCAGCATAGTTGTACAACCTCGACGAACACAGTTTTCATAATTCTACAATAATGCAAATACGAAATGAACGCGAGAACATGTGGTTTTGTGTTTATTTATTGATTCAAGCGCAAATAAAATAAAATATATAATACTTCAGTCGAGTCTCGATAACTCGAATTTTTTTTTTACCTCTTTAAGTGTTTTCAAACTGAGTATGAGGTACATAGGTACCTAGAAAAATATATAAGACAAATTTATTTTCTCCCCTTGAGATTCGAGTTATCGAGACTACTGTGTATAATTACTTTTTACCTGCAATATTAATAAGTTTATTATAAAGTACTCTCATTCCGAGGAAATAGTTATTGCTATACCTATTATATCACTCAATCTTCGGAATTTTAATTTCTCGGATTCGCTATTTATTGAATATAGGTAGAGTTTAATTTTTGAAGATTTCCAGTAAAGTTTATTATAATATAGTAATACGTTTATTATGCTGGATACTACGGTACTACACTAGAAATATTTAAGTTAATAATATTAGTTTAAACGTAATACTTCGTTTTGACCATTGACGCATACTGATTGTGTTGTACCTATACAATACCCATGACCATATTTTGGATGTTTCTTCCAAAAAGGCTGAGAGATATCTCTACTCTTGGTAGTTGGTATTTTTTGTTTTGGTTAAATAGTTTTTGCTTTATTTGCTAGTTTGTTTAACTATAACTACATTCTCGAATGTATTATAGTAGTAGTATGCTTCGTTAGGTAGGTAATTAAAACTAAGTGTATATTAATATATTAATTATTATTAACATATAGATATTCCATTTCTTGATTTAAAGAAAAAACCATAGGAAAATGAAAAACACAATACAATTCATAAATAAAAATAAAAATTGTAACAATAGATATGTTTATTGAATTTTGAAATTTGAAGTAATATTAACCAAATCGAGATATTATCACAGTTTAATTTATGTTATGAGTTGAGGATAATGAATTGTTCTCTAATTTTATTCTAAACCTATTGCAGCATAACGGAACTGTGAAGCAAAGTTTTTAAATTTAATTTTACTCGTGGGTAGTATTGAGATTTAAATATTATAGAATTCTATTGATGATAATATTTAAATTTTTTATTTTTAAATGTTATTTTAAAAATATTAAAAGATTTGCAATATATTAAGAAAAATGTACCTATAATTGCTGTTTTTATATTATAAAACATATTATATGCAGGTAGTATTAAAAACTTATTTTCTCGTGGTATCGTGTAAAAGTGATTAGTAAAAATTTAAATATATCAGTAGACACTATAGTAGATTTTAAGTAGTAGAGGTTAGGGTATATTTCTTATAATTTTTTGGTGTCTCGACATCCGATTCTCGCAAAAAATTATAAAAAGAATTGCCGTTCTAAATTAATTAATTCAAATATGATGACCTTTTTTTTTTTTATTATGGTATCGAGTACTGTTGTAGGAGGAACTATGGTGCCAGTACTTCAAATATGATGACCTAAAATCTTCTAAAATCCAGTTTCCTGTTAGGTGTACGTATACCTAACTATTATAATTGAGCGGTCGAGCATAACAGTGGCCTATAATGACATGAAATTTTATTTTAAATTTATAAGAGGTATCTAATGAGATACTTTACAAATATTTTAAATGGAACACTGGCCTATCTTTGTTTTTTAAATTTTACACTAGATGTCCCCTCAATTTATTATTATAACACGTGATTGCTACCAGAAATAGTTTTAGAGTACGGATTCTTTTTATATTATGGGATCTTAGTTATTATATTAAAGATTATGAACGTTTAATGCTTGTATGTTTTTCTTACTTTTCAAAATAGCAATTGAATATTAATTTTTTTCATTTAATTTTTCCCTCGACTGTGAATTCCTAGCTGCATTACTTATAATAATACGTGTGTTTATTGGAGTCAATGTATCCATGAGCTCTATAACATATTTTAAGCACATGTCGGTTTACCACCTGTACGATTTACGTGAAACTCGCATTCTGTACCGCTAATCGCTATTATCTTTGTCAATATGACAATATGCCTATTACTTATTCGATAACCTAACCAATCGAATTCCGAATGTCATTTTGTACTTAGGTAGGCTATTACCTGTAATAATAGTCGTTTTGTCAGTATATCGTATGATAATAATGATTTATGATAATATAATATTATATAGTCCTATATACCGCATGTTCGGGTCATGCACTCGTGTCCCTCCGTATAATATAATCTTTCGATAATATATGATATCGAGCGTGTATCGATAATACATAACATAATATATATACATTTGCATCGTTATCAAAAACTCGTTTCCTTGCAGCAGACGTTTCGTTATATTATTACATCTATTAAGTAAAAAAAAAATTAAAACTGTGGCCTGCGCATAGGCGCTAGCTAGCACACGTTATGGCGTTGTATACCTATGTTGCAGTGTATACCTACACATAGGGGGGCGACGGTTTGATAAGAAAAACAATGACAAATATGTTGTCAAAAACAACGATCGTAAACGCTGTCGACGATTGTGCACGGCGGCGGCGACGATATCCATAAACCGTGAAACGTTTTATTATACGATCGAGTTGGTATATTATTCCCATGATAAGTATGCGACATTATAAAGGTACACCAGTGTGCCGGTATATAAGTGCACAGCCGGGCCAAAAGCGTGTGACACTTGTGCCCACAAAATAATATAATATAAAATAATGACGTGGCGAATATTATACTATATACATATATATACGTATTACCCATGTACTTGTGTTGTCCGCTCTATATAGTGTATATATATATATATATATTGTACGAAATACGCGTGTACATAATATTATTTGTATATGTAATCACGAGAGATCTATAATAGGTATAATATACTTCGGTACCTACCTAATTGCCTGTTCGGTTATCCAGGACGAGAAGGGCATGTTTTGTCGTCCTACTACTCGTATTATCAACCAACAGAGGCGGCAGGAAAAAATTAGACTTAAGTGTCGTTTTATATATTATTATTATTATTATTATTATTTAAATCGATGTAATGCGCTAAACCGTAATATTGCGTTGAACTGTTTAAGTGAGTTTACCTGTATAATATATTGTAATAGCATTGTATATTATATACTCAACTTATAGGCTTAACAGCATTATACACCACGTAACTTTGCGAATGCCTAGTGACTTTATGACGATTATAAAATATAACCGCGTGGTGCAGTCGAGCGTAAGAGGACACGCAGGTATTTTCGCCGACCAAACTATTTTTTTTACAATTTGTTTTTTCATTCGATCATTATTTATTTGTATCTTATATTTATAATATAGTGTTACTTACTTAAGTAACGCACACACTCGTTTATGAAGAAAAAAACAAGTAGTTACATTTTGAACCATATATTATGGTACCAATGTCAACGTGTTCTGAGAATTTATTCGTTTCATACGATTACTTATAATACGATTGATCAGTTTTATTTGGATAAATTTGTATTTTTCGTCTTTAAATAAAAAGTCAATAGTTTTATAATGGGTTCTGAGATGATTTAAAATTTTTGCACATTTTCCATCATATTATACAGTTGGCAGCCGTGAACACAAATTTAAACGAAGTTTTATTTTAGTAAATGTGCACTTACAGTAGGTATATTAAATTGTACGGGAAATTAAAAATGCATTTTGATTATTAAATATTAATAAGTACATGATGTGGTAATAATTATAAAATGTAAAATATATCTCAATGCATAATATATATAAAAATTGGAAATAAGTTTACTGTTAAGTTTATCTATCTGCAGTTATCAAATATATTTATTTAAAAGATTGAAAATAGTACACGTATGTATAGGTATAAAACAATAATAATAATGTAAATAAAAATACACTTTTAAGAAATATTAAAATTAAAAGTAAAATATAAGTATTTTATTTTGAAATCTTAATAAACTATGTAACACATAACATTATAGTATAATATATAGGTAAATAGTAATATTTGGGTGTATAATATATTAAGTCGTTATTGACGATCCTCATGACTCGAGCCGAACGAACAAATTGATTGTAATACAATTTAGACAAACTTGTCCCCTTGGCTCAAGGGATCAGGTCGTCGAGAATATTATACACCCGATAAATATTAACTACTTTAACTTACGTTCAAGGTTCCACTGTTCCTGCAGGATAGAAGTATGCTGCCGTGTGGTTGCTGTTCTCGTGGTCTGTGCTGTACGACAATTAAAGTACGAGTGCAGTGTGTTCAAAAATTTCCTATCACTACCGTTTCACCTATTGCTAGTTCATAACACTTGTTTCAATACATATACCGACGACCCCCTTCCATTTGACTTCCTCCAAAAAACGTTGGTAAGTACACGTATTACAATTATATTAGACGCTAAATATTAAAAAAGGCGTTTTTTCCTCCACCTACTGACTATACCATTATCACATAAAACGGTCACAAAACCAACTCGACCGTAAATATTGTCCGTGTTTGCTCACTGTGTCATCGTGTATATATGGTAATATTATTAATTGTTTTGCATGTCTTCAACCTGTGGATTATGGGAAACATAAATTAAAATCATAAAATAAAATACGATTTTAACGGTCCTGTATCGGGGGCAACCAGAAAATGTATTTTATATTATTTATAGATTTGAATGCGTTAACTGACTAATTTAGATGATATGAATACAGTTAAACTATATTACGGCTAAAACATTTTCAATCGATAACAATTAAAATATACAAACGAAAAATACAACGCGTAGTTCTGCTGATATATACTAACAAAAGCAGATCGAAAAACCTTAAGGACCAAGAGTTTAACAACTGAAGCTATATAAACTTATTTCGTTTTATCTGATAATGTACAACAAATTTTTGTTAAACGTTAATGGATAGGTAGGTTCCGTTGTATTTTTTAGGTAGATCGTAAAATATTTCCTCGTTATTGTGCCAAGTTTTAAATTTTCATTTTATCCAAAGTTTGTTTTAGACCAATTCTATGCTTTATTTTTTCTATCACGAGTAGTCATAATAATGAATAGGAAAAATATATCAATGCCAGTGGGGAGTCTTTACTATAGAAATAATACATTTTTAAATGAGTAATAATTAATAAGTAAAAATAATTATCTAAAAACAAAATATTATTATGATTTTCAAACTTGGAGAATAATGGAAAACATAGGTATGGAAATCTCTACATAGAATAAAGCGTACCTACCTAGTTTAATTAATGTAAACTACATTTTAAGAAATACAAATTAATAACCGATCAGCGACAGCAAAATAATTAGGAACAGTAATCTGAAATTAAAAATTAACCGCCATAAATAAAATTCGAGATTCTTATCCTATAACTAAGTTTACGGTATATCTTATTTAAATATGTCTATACCCAAACAGGGATGGATTTAAGGAGAGGGTTGATGGGGCGACTACTTCCCATAATTGTAAGTTTTTTTACCGAATCGTTTAACATTTTTTATAGTAGTATGATCGAGCGACGTCCGTTATCATTGCAACTATCATATTTTAGCAAATGGAATTTCTCCGCTTTAAAACGATTTACTATATTTTAATCTATATGTTGAACTGGTTTTAATTTAAATCATGTAATCAAATAGATAACACTATTATTATAGATAGTATTATTAGGTTCTGTTATAGGTCTATGGGTACAGTCTGTATTATTATACATATTATAAGCTTTGGATTCATGTTGTGAGATAATCTATCCAACAATATTCTTATTACTTTGCCAATAAGTACATTTTGCTTCATCAGAACGTAGTTTTCTACTTTGAGCGGGTCAGATAATTCCTGATAAATATCTTAATGAAACATGAAACATTTATTACATACCTACTAAATTACTTGCTTTAGAAATATGTAGCTTATAATATTATTGTTGGTCATCAATCGAAATTCTTTCCATTGTATTAGATAATGCATGATTCCATTCTTCAAGCTTTTATTGTATTCTAGAATATTTAAATAAACAACACGTATGTCATTATTTCTTGTACTACGTGCTAATGAATTAAAGGCGTATATTTTCAGAACAAATGATCTTAAAATGTAATTATTAATTTTTTCAACTTAAGTATCTTCCAAAATGCTCTGAGTTTTTTCTTATTGATATTAATTTTTTTAAAAATTTTTTCTTTGTTTTTCGATTAGTTTTAAAAATTAAAATATTGAATTTAAGTTGAAAAGATGAAAATGTTGATTCGAAAAATATACATTTTATTCAAACCAAAAATTAAATGATTTAGCTTTTATATATTATGCATATGATGGGGTATAATATTTTTCTGTTTGGATAATATACTTTAAATTTTGAATGCCGGTGTTGGAAAATTTAAAAAGGTTAAGGACAATTATAGGTGTCTTGTGATGATAATTTGGGGTAATTGAAGATGAGATGGAGAATGTTACAGATTGCGGGGTTTATTGTAGAGCGTAAAGGTTGGGGGGGGGGGGGGAGGCATTCAATAAGAATTTAAAGGAATGAGAATTCTCGTTTCTTAAGAAATAGTCTATGGTAAAATCGGATACGGGATTAGGTAGTAATGGATTTCTAAGGAAGTAATGCATTTCTAAGGAAGCTTAAGGTTGTGAAATCGGCCATCAGGTTTGGAGTACGGGTGAGTTAGGAAAACTAAGAAATAGTTCTATATTTTTTATAGTTATAAGTATATTATACTGTTAAGCCTATTATTGCTTATTGTCTTTAATTTATAGATTTAAAACATGGTTAGAACCACGGATGGGCGTTATAATTAACATAATTTCAAGCTTTATTTCATAATATTTGTAAATATATTAATAAATATATAGATTTAATCATTATTAATGGTTGCAAAGGAAAAATGCAATTTTAACTTGTTAATTTACATCGTATTACTGATATATTGTTTATGACCCATCATTTATACTTGAAGTTAAATCAATGTTTTAAAATAATAGCTATATATCTTTGTACATTGTACTTAGTTTTTGATAACTTTTTCACCAAATTGTATAAATACAGACATGCAGTAAAGTCTTCAGTTAATTACATTTATTGTATATTAAAAAATATCACTATTCACGCTCTGCTTAAGGAAGTGTTAGATCCACAACGAATACAAGTTAGACATATCTTATCAGTTTCAAGAGGTATCTACGTAACTATACTTTAATTGTAGAAACCAACATAGTTATGTGTATTTTTATAAATTGTCTACATGTTTATGTATATTAGATAGGTCGTTGGTACATGGTAATAATATTATAATTTATTAATAACGGTGTGTAATGAATTAATTGTGTTAACAATTAATCTATTTTAAACAATATAGTACATATATTACACACACGTGACTAATTATATGTTAAAACCAAAGAGAAAATACCATAAGTCAACATGATAATATTAACAATTTATTTTTCAACTTAAAATAATTTAATCTTATTTTCAACTTTTTTGAATAAAAAAAAAATGTAGATATTAGTTGCAAATGATAAGGACATATTTTATAAATTTCCTCATTTCCAGCCATCTTTTGAGTATTTTAAAAGTGACAAATTATTTTCAGTCATGCAGTTTTAATCTATACTCAATACAATTTACATATTTTGACTCTTCTCCGTTAATTATCGAAATCAAGCTGTACGTGTTAGTGCGATACAGATACATTTATTTGAACTTTCATTTCTTACTTACGGCGTGTGATTACGTGAAATAATAATTCCCAAATCTAAAGTGTCTTCCTAAGTTATATACGTAATGTAGTACATCGAGAACACTCAGTACATTTACGCGAACAAAGAGTTTTAGAGAGAGTATAGGTCGAAGGTATAATACAAAATGAATATGCTGAGACTTTGGTAAAGTACCCATAAAGGTATAAGGTGGTATTCAAAATTAAATCGTTATACACATAATTATTGTGTATGTACAAATTAGTAGAAACTGAAATCAAATCTACCGAAACCGCTGATAATATTATGTAGAGAGTAGAGATCACCTATATATCCTTATACTAAATAATGAGACTGCGGCAGTTTTGTCTGCAGGGCCGCAGTTGACAGTAAATATTTAAACATTATTTGTTTTCTGTCGTAAACTCAATAACACCGTTTCGTTCTATTTTGTTTGTTATAGGTGCTTTCGTTTATCTCCAGTGACACGATTAACAAAAGCCAAAAGATTCGTCACCTCGTGAAGAGCCGATATATGCAAACGCGTCCAACGGAAACCGACGAAAACTGCAGCAGCAATATAACCACTAAAACACGGTAGAATTTGTTTAAAACAAAACTCATTACATAACATTATATGCCGAATGTAGGTACCTGTATTTTTTTTTGCGATTTTGCGAGTGTTGTGTATAAGTATACATACATATATCTCGAACCAGCGAGACGAACGACCGTCCCTCGGCTTACTACTGTCAATCCTCATTTACTTTGGAAGAGTATAGGTATATATAGCGTAAACAAAATAAAAGCGTCAGTGTCAAAAACATAATTATTGGATACATACATTTTTAGAAATTTAAATAAAACTTACCGAAATATGCAGCGGTGATCACATAATACCTATAGAGGATATCATCTAAATCCTTAAATTAAATAATGCGAATTCGACAGTTTTGTCTCGACCGCGGTCTGCGGTACAACAGTATTATTGCCCTGTGGCCCGTTTTTGTCGCAAGGTAAATAACCCGCCAACACGGTTTTGTTCTATTTATTGTTTGTTGTACTTTCATTTATTTGCAACGACATATAAATTAACAAAAGCCAAAAAAAGTCGTCACCGCGTGGAGCGATCTAGAGAGCCGATATAATGTACAAACGCGGGCAACGGAAACAGATACGGAAACTGCAGCACACTAATATAACCAACAAAACACGGTAGAATTGTTTTTGAAACAAGACTTATCGCATAATACCTATTATACCGATTAGGCGCCTGTATTGTTTTGCGATTTCCCGAATTATAGTTATATCATAATAACTCGCACCCGCCCGAAAACGACGAATAACGACCGTCCCTCGGCTGTCCACTCGCCACTATACATTATCTCCCCCATCAGTCGTTCATGTATGACCTATATCTTATCTCGGGTTTTTTCACTCTGATAGTACTACTTGTCTACATGGGCATACAATTATTCGATTGTCTCGCAGTTATGTAAGTTCAAATACGACACACTCATCTGATAATCGGACTTATGATTGTATACGATTGCGCATACCTACAGGCATCTGCCAGTTTGTGTGTACAAATATTATACGTTTTGGCCACGTTATGGTCGAACAGTCGTGTAAAGTGCTGGAGTAGATAAATATTCATATACTTATGGAAAAAGTACTCGCATAAAGTGTTTCAAATACTTTCCCGAAAGTATCTGTATTTTAAATGAAATTCAAATTTAAAAATACTTATCATTTTTAGTATATATATTATATTATTTTCTATTTTAATTATAATCACGTAAAATAAAAAATGAAAATTTTTTATGCCTAACATATTTTTTTATTGAGATTTAAAGTAACTTAAATCCTCAATTTTTTGCAAAAAAAAAAAAACAGAAATAATGATATTGTTACACCAAATAATATGGCGTGAAATGTTTCATAAAATTGACGTTACACATGGAAATTTGGCTAATTCGTTTATAAAGTATAAATAACTGAAAGCAATTGAAAACATCTACGAACCCTATTTTAAATTATTCTTGTATTTATAGTACTTTATACTCAAATACTTTTTTTTATCGAGTATTTGAATATATATTTTAAATAATTTTCAAAATAATTATCTGTATTTGTACTTTAATACTTTTAAAAGACTTCATGCCTTCATGGGTATAACTTTATAAGTACCTTCACCTACCTACTTATATATAATACACGGGTGCGAAGTGAATCCAACTTTAATCTAATTAAATACCATTAAATAACCTTCAGAATATATTTGCATCGTCATTGTACGAAATGTGTTGCAAAAATTGAACCACATGCAAACTGTGTATATACGGTGAATATCTTTTATACTATGCCGTTCATATGTTTTTTTTGACGATAAACGTACCGATAAAATTGAATTTCAAAAAATATATAAAAATGTATTGAATTATTCTTTACGAACAGAGTTTTTTTTTATGACAGTTTAACATTTCTTATGCACACGCTGTTGTACCAACAGTATAATAAAACTTCTTTTTTGTAAAGTCAATAACTATTTTATTTTGATAGACATATATTTTGTAAGTTATAATATTATGGTCAAATCTTTAATTTTAGTTAGCTACACTCTCTAAGTTTAGTAAATTCATAAAAGTTTTGATTAAAAATACACATTTAAATTAAATAATATTAATTGTTCAGTGTTAATACTGGATTAATCCTTGCTCGTATAGGAATTTATACTGAAAATGGTGTTTTGCGAGCTCCTTAGATTTCTATATTTTTCTGAAACCTAGATAAAATTAGTACATTTATTATTTGCAATTAACACTTATGCTAATTTTATGAGACATGACTTGACAAACACGAAGTAAAGTAGCTACCCTGCGGCGATAAGACGATATTTATAATTTGATTTAGATTTGTGCGATTTATAACTTATAAGTTTATAAAAATGTAATTTTATTGAAACAATTATAAAAATTTAATATACAATAATGCTCGGTATATCAAATTTCTGTTTATTTACTAAAGTATTAGAGGGTCATTTTCTAATAGAGTGAACCAAAATTGATGATTTTATAATCAACAATTTCTGAAAAAACAATAATAGAATCCGCAAAAAAAGTTGATTTTGTTGTTGAGATAACTGTGTGCCTGAGACATGTTAAACTGTCCGTAAAATATAAATACACCTATTTAAGTTTTTTTTTAATTCCAACTATCGATCGGTAATCATAAAAAAAACCATTCGTACAATGACATGAGAAAGTCTACCTATGTATTTAAAGTAGGAAAAGTGATTTTTATTCATATATTACATCTGATAACAACTAGGTATCTTATATCTGCCTATACAGGGGAACGGAAAAAAAGTCCCGGAAAAAAAGTCCCGGAAAAAAAGTCTCCGGAAAAAAAGTCTCAAAGAAAAAAGTCTCGGTGGAAAAAAAGTCTCAGGGAGTAAAAGTTATATTTTTATAAAAAAAAATATGTCATTGAATCGTAGTCGTATTTAAAAAATAACACATAATATTACATAAATATAATAATATAAATAATATAAATTATTATCGTTGTAGCTTAATAT